TCATACAAGTGAGGCAATTACACTCCTCGCGTTTAATATTATTATTATTAGTTAGCAATAAACATTTTTTCTTCTGAGACTTTTTCCACAAATCATAGAGCGAGTCTTTCGTTCGAATTGAGGTAACAATACCACTAGTAATCCATGGGTTGTTCAAAGCGTTACGTTTAGATAATTTCGGTTTGTCAAGTTTGAATGCCTCGTCTAGGTGCTTCTGAAAAGTAGTGCAGAAACTACTGAAGTTTTCAGGAGGATTGGTATGTAGTTCATTATCAATTGATGTGAGAAAGGCGTCTACATTTGAGGTGCTATAGTCGTAATATTGTGCGTGTTTAAGTTTAGGTTCATCAGCTACAAAATTAAGACAACTATTGATTTGAAAGATGGCATGGTGGTGAGAAACATTGAGTTGCAACGTTCCTGTAAACAACGTGCTTTCGATTTCATTAGTGAAAATATTATCAATACAGGATGGTTTACATCCAGGCTTTTCGTGTGTTTGGATAGATATCGTTGGTGAGTACCCTAATCCGAGCATTATGTTTTCTAATTCTTGTGTGCATCTTCTATTGCCGTTATGGAGGTTAATATTAAAATCACCCATTACATGTACATTTAACTTTGGGAGTTTACCCATAATTACTTGTAGCTCAGCGAGAAACTCGTCAATGTCTCCACTAGGGGGTCTATAGATTACTCCTACGTTTATAGTTTTAGATTCTTGATGAATAGTCACAAAGAGGCTTTCTAAATTACTGGTGACGTTTGATACATCTACATTAACGACTGCATTAAAAGCATTGTGAACATAAACTGCAACGCCCGTTCCTTTCGATTTGTTATGCATTGTAGTCTGGTAGAAACTATTGAATCCATTAATAGGGTAAACGGAACTCTCTTCTGGGCTAATATTGGTTTCGGCAAGGCCTATGATAGGGAAATTGTGTTTGAGGCACTCTAATTCAGATATGAGATGGTCGAAGTTGCTTTTATTGCCGTCGATATTCAGGAAGAAAGAGCCACCATTTTTATGAAGATCGGCACTAAGTTCGTTATTAAATTTGTTGGTGGAGTAAGGCTTACAATATTCTAGAACTTGTGACATTTTCAGAATCAAGGGGTCGTTGTTATTGTTATCCGACTTACTAATCATATCTTTAAACGGGTTGTACTGTTTAAGGATTAGCGCTTTGCACTGATTACAAAAGTAATTTGAGTTGATCACGGTTGCTTCAGAGTTTTTGAAACATTTTTCATGTATAATGCAATTACATTTAAAACATTCAACAAATTTTTGACCTAAACATAAGCTCTTAAGGCAGTGACTGCATTTTTCCTTATTTGAGAAAGTTACCATACCTGGTAACTGTACCCGCCTCCTCCTCTGGCAACTGAACTGAAGGGTCTTTCCGTCAGCTCTGCTAGTCGGTCCTCTTCGTTTATCAACTCCTCGGTGGAGCCTGGAAAATATGGTTTGTTTAATTAGGCCAGCAAGGACCCTAGCACCTAGTTCGTTAAGGTGAAGCGTGTCAGGCCTGTTTTGTCGATCAACTGTCTTGGACAATTGATGGACCAACATGCCATAATGATCAGCAAAGCCATTAAAACCTTGCACACTCTGAACACCAGAACTCATAGATGTAAGACCGTTCGTCAGCAGTTCATTAAACAAGTTAACTTTTCTATTCAAATCAGCAATTTTAGTAGGAAGCAGCGGGCAAACATAAACAAAACATTTAGGGTTCAGCAGCTTAATTTCTTTTATTTTTGTTAACAGCGAACTACATACACTTCTGACGTTACTTTGAGGTTGCTTTATATCATTTATCCCGCACATGATAACAACATTGCTGTAGGATTGACAGCTGTAAGGGTCAATGTTGTTGATTATAGGCGCCCATTCTTTAAGGCCAGGCATGAGTTCACCAAATGTATTACGTTTATTAGTCCCAAACTTGAGCATTCCTGTATTTGAATCTCCTATCAAGATTGTAGAGTTTTTGTTCTTCCAGTTAACTGATCTGAACGTGAGGCTATATCTGATGTCCTGGGTGACGTTACCTTCTGGAATTGAATGAGTGAAAAAGTCTTGTGATTTTCTTGTCATATGATAGAGTGATCGGTGGGTGGATGTTAGGTCAGACTTGACACCAGACTTTTTGTCAAGGAACTGGATGGAGCATTCTTGGCCGAGGGACAGTGTGAAAATGGATGATTCGACATCTATACTAGTGGGCTCGTCGTCTGAGTGGCTGGGAAGTGAACTATTAGGGCCTTCGTACCTATTTATGAGACATGAATTGATGACAGGAGGTGAAGGATGCCTCTCAGGATGTGACTTGAAGGTGGGGTGCTGTTCGTAGAATAATTCCTTTTGTAGGACATTGATTTTCTCCAGTATCGGCTGAAGCACCAGGGGGATTGGGGTTGCATCGGCACCAGATTTGGAACCTGTATACGTGTAAGGAGCTCCGAATGCAACAGTTGAGCGGCCTGATTCAGACACAAATGACAATGACTCTAGTGATGTGGTGATATTTGAGGCTGTATCTTCATTGATGAATTCTAGTTTGAGGTCGGTGAAGCTTTTCTGATTGTGCTCTATGGTAGTTGTGGGTTCAGGGACAACTGTGGGTGGGTGGGTGAGTGGGTGGGTGGGTGGTGTGACACGACTAGGATGGACCCAGGGCTGAGAGCTTGATGGTGCTTGGGTGATTTGAGGGCTGCTTGAGGAGGCAGTTGATTTCTTAAGGTCATCCATACTAGACTGAAGCTCAGTGATCTGATTTTTCATAGTTTTAAGTTTCTCATCAACCTGACCTTCTTGGAGGGTCCGATGTTGAATATGTAGCTCAATGTCTCCTAGCTTGAGTATTCTCTCAGAAATGGTCTTGGTGGTAGCTCCGAGATCGTTTGTGTTGGATATCAGCGAAGTTAGTTTCTCCTCCATTTTCATGACAGTTTCTTCAAGATCAATGTTTTTATTCCTCAGATTAGACATATTGAGAAGTAAAGTCTCGATCTGTTGGTTGTTACGGATGGTCACGCCAGGGGCACTGAAACAAAGCGGACAGAGCCAATCCTCTATCTGTGTAACAAACTGTTCGGAAATACCTTTTAGATTACAACAATTGCTGTGCCAGGTTTGAGGGCAAGAGGTACAATCAATAATCCATGAGGTTTTATCACTAGTTCCACAGGGACATTTATCATACCTGATGTCCGGTTTCGAGGTTTCTCCTGATTTGGTGGCTTTCTTCGGGGCCTTTTTGGCTGGGTCCTTTGCTATATCCTTTGCTGTACGGTTGGGGGTTGCTGCGGTCTTGGTGCGTGACTGAGGTGTCCAAACGAGGATTGGACACCCTACAACATGATTTCACAAAGATCATGCAAGCGCTTACATTCAAACCTTTGAGTAGAATAAGAAGCTTTATATCACGATTAGATATTTCCAAATACTATTACTATTTCTATTTTCAAGCACCAGCCACCAGATAATAATTTGAGGGCATCCAGGGACGCCTAGACACCCTCAATAGCCACCTCTGAAATCAAGCACGATTTACACGATTTTACACGATTAGAAAATTTATTTGTTATACTGGAATAATAACAATTTTAAAATATAAAATAAATCACTTCCCTCTGAAGTAGAACAGATGATGGGAGAGCTTCAAACATGGCGATGGAGGGAAGCGGTGTCTCACCGCTGGGAGGTAAATTAATACCCGTATCGCGATGGTAAAATTTTATGATATGAGATCTCAAGTAAAAAATAACACAAAAAATAAAAAAAATGAAATTGATACATTCGAGAAGATATCGTGATTACATGGTAGCCATCCATGATCCCCATTTAGCCCTAGGTTTTGTATATGAAGCAAATGGTTCTTAAATCTCTTTTTAAATAGTGAAATTGACAAAATATGATACGGTACATCATGATCAAGGAGATAATTTAAAATTTTGGATGCATTAAAAACAAAATTACTATTCTTGGTCTTAGACATTGAGAATTTAGGATATAGAAGTCTGCATGATCTACTTGACTTGCTAAACCGGCGATAAACATCAACAGGAATTTGTTCTTTAAGTAGCCTCATTGCAATACATCCAGTAAAGTATGTAAATAAGTTAAACAAGGTTAATAATTTCAAACGAAAGAACATTGGTTTCGTATGTTGAAACTTGTGATCAATCTTTATTGTTTTTCTACTCACAATACGAATACATTTTTTCTGCAACACAAACAGTTTTTGCAGCAAAGGATGGTGAAAAACAGCACCCCACAGTGGTATACAATACATTAAATATGGTTGAACAAGTGAAATATATACTTGTCTTAACACTTTGGCTGGCACTATAGAACTTATGGAGTAGAGTGATCCGCAAGATTTTGAAACTTGCGTTATTACATTGGTAATATGATCATTCCACGTTAAATTAGAATTAATAATGACTCCCAAAAATTTACACTTATTCACTTGATTAAACTGGTTGTTAAGCATTCCAACAAACTTTTGATTCTTAGGAACTTTACTACTTCCGAATTCCATAAAACAGCATTTTTCAAAATTAATGATTAACCTATTTAAGCAGCAATAGTCGTGAATCTTTGATAATACCTCATTAGCATTTTTGTAGAGTAAATTTCGGTCTTTATTTTGAAGAAAAAGGTTTAAATCATCTGCAAAGAGGATAAATTTAGCTAACTCACAAATATTTGCCAAATCATTGATAAAAATAATGAAGAGCAGGGGGCCTAACACTGACCCCTGTGGAATACCACAGGTTATTTTCAAGAGACAACTTTCGAATCCCCCATATAATAGCTAACATACTGAAACCGATCTGATAAATAACTGTTTAATAATTTAATGACATTTCCTCGAATACCATAGTTCTCCAGCTTTTCTAACAAGATATTATGCCGCACTGTATCGAAAGCTTTGGAAAAATCTATAAATATACCTAATGTAAAATTCTTATTATCGATAGCATCATGAAGATTTTCTACTGCTGAAACAAGTGCATGAAAGGTTGAGTGCTTACTGCAGAAACCAAACTGATTATCACAGAAAAGATTGTGCTTATTAAAGAAATCAGATACGTTTTTATGTATTAACTTCTCGAAAATCTTAGCAAAAAAAGGTAACATTGAAATAGGACGATAATTGCTTATATCAGAAATAGATCCTTTATTCTTATACAAAGGAATTATTTTTGCTGCTTTTAATTCTTTCGGAAAATAACCTTCATTTGCACATTTATTAAAAATATCAGCCAGTAAAGGACTTAAAGTGGTAGCTAAAAGTTTGAGGACCCTAGGAGAATAATACGTACCCTTGCTATTATTAAGCTTACTTATAACAAGCTAAATGGTACAATGGGTAAGCAGGCTGATTTTGGAGAGGGCAGACCGTAAGGATTATGCAACCACCAGGGCTACCTCTATCACTATTCTTGGTTGACCAGCTTGTGTTGTTTTGTATTGTTCTATTTAAGCAATCCAAGTCACCACACTAAAAACTCAGTCGAATAAATATACCAATGGCTGATAATAATATCTATTAAGTTAGGGATAAAATTTCCGTGTCTAAAGTATGGTTTGGAATACGGTGGGAACAATGGAGCCTCGGTAGACAGGGTTTTGATTGTTCACATGTTAATTCCTGATTTGGGGAAGGAAGTGGCGGCAGTAAGTTGGGGTTTGTGGTAAATCGGGATGTGGACACATCAGGTGTCATGGCGAACAAACTTTTGATATAATGTTTAAGAGTATAATGTCCCCATCATTCCCTAGTTTTATGGACTGGCGATGGGTTTTCCAGTGGATTCCATGTGCCTGGGTTTTCCCTTCTCTCCAGCCTCCACAGAAAGGACGTGGACATGGCCTAGCTGCTCCCCTCCTGGATGGGACTGAAGACGACAATGTGCTCTATGCTCTTGGTAAGTGTTTAATAGATCTGATAATGTGCTCAGTGTTTTTAATTCATGTACAATGTAGACAAAAATAAATATCCAGGTAATTTGACAAATCTGTAATCTATTTACATAATTCGTTTTAACTTGTACATTGCCTGATCTGTATATAAGTGGGAACATGTATAATTCATTCAAACCGCTATATACCGTGCCTCTCTATACCGGGTCACAAGATGACAAATTTTAATAATGCAGCTGATAGGTTTCACAACCTCTGCATTGGTCATTGTAACATTCAAGGAGGGCTTCTCAATTTAGCTAAAAGTAATGAACTTTCCCAACTTATTAGAGATCATAAATTAGACATACTTTCCCTAAATGAGATGAATCTTAATGATACTATTGACACAGACACCATAAATATTCCTTCCTCCTTCAACCTTATGCGATGCGACAGGCCAAACAGTTCTAGGGGTGGTTGTGGCTTAATGATAAACAAAAAACTAGCTTACACAGAATTAGTTATGGATAGTAAGCTTGATAACATTGAAGCATTATGGGTGAAGCTTAAGAATAGCAAGATCAATGTTTGCTGCTTCTATCGCTCTGGAAATTATTGCAGTGTTGATAACTTTATTGAATACATTCATTTTTGCATGAAAAAATTGAATGGGAAAAAGGTTATCTGGATTGGGGATATAAACATTGACCAGAATAATATCTCATCCACCCAGTACAAACAATTAGATATGACCTTGAGATGTTACAATCTAGTTCAAACCATTCAAGGGATAACTAGAGTTGCTAAACGTGGAGACAATGTTACCCAGACTACTATTGATGTAATATTCACTAACTGTTATGCAGATTTTGTCCAATCTTCTGTTCTTGATGAACGTATTGGAGATCATCAAGCTATTATGTGTGAGATAGATTGTAAAGTACCTATAGCTCCTAAATTTGAGAAGGTTGAAATTAGAAATCATTGTAAACGTAATGTTAAACAATTCTTAGACTATCTAGACACCTGTTCTGATTACAGTCCACTATTGGAAAGTACAGATGTTGAAGCTATCACAGCTGGCCTTTGTCATCATATTGAACAGGCATATGCAACCTTCTTCCCTTGCAAGACCATAGAAAGGCATGAAAAGTTCATACATAAACCTTCTACTGAACTTTTATATGCCATTAATCATACACATTTTCTTCTAAAGAAATTCCGTAAAAAGAAGGATAAGAGAGACAATGGAAATTGCAATAAATGTGGTACATGTAGCAAATGTATAAAGTGTAATGAGGCCTGGGATTGCTACAAGATTCAGAGAAATATTAGAAATAAATTAGCTAAAACCTGCAAAAAGGCTAATGTAATCGATGATCTACAAGTTAAAAGTGCCAAGAATGATCTTAAAGGGATATGGAAAACTATCAAACTGGCATCAAATATGACCCCTGGTACAACTAATTGTCAAACTATCAATGAGAATGATCCTGAGCTATTTAACTTTCATTTTGCAAATGTTGGATCAAGATTACAAAATCAGGCCCCCAATATTGAAAGAGTTAGTTTTACAGATTTTTTACCTCCTAGAACTTCTAATATCTCATTTGATAGATTCCAAGAAATAAATGAAACTGATATCCTAATGTATGTCGAAACGCTCAAGAATGACAAGGCCTCATATGACAATGTGCCTCTATTTTTACTTAAGCAAGCTGTACCACACATAGTTGAGCCACTGACCCACATTGTCAATCTGAGCCTTAATACAGGTGTTGTACCAACCCTTTGTAAAAAAGCTAGAGTAACTCCCATCCATAAGGCAGGAATGAAAGATGATCCTAATAATTACAGGCCAATATCCATCCTTCCACTTGTAGGAAAACTTATAGAACACTTTGTCGGCAAGCAACTCACTGATTACATGGAAGAGAACAAACTTTTCATCCGGCATCAATATGGCTTTCGGAAAAATCACTCCACAACTTATCTGATGTACGATCTGATGGACGAAATATATATGAGTAAATCTAAGTCTTATAAACCAGGAATCATCTTTCTTGATCTTAAGAAGGCCTTTGACACAGTGAATCATGAAATATTGCTTCAAAAATTGGCATATTATGGAATTGGTGGCATTGCTTTAACCTGGTTTAAGAACTTCTTATCTTGTAGATATCAATGCACTAGGATCAATGGCAATCTAAGCTCATTTTTAGAAGTTCTGAGTGGTGTACCACAAGGAAGCATCATTGGGCCTATATTATTTAGTATCTTCATAAATGACATCATTTATGCCTGTAACCTATCTAAGCCCTTTCTATTTGCAGATGATGGTGCACTATTCTTTGATCAAACCTGCAGAAGCACATTTATAAACATGAAAATAGAACTTATGACAATCTTTAAATGGCTCAGTGTTAATAAATTATCACTCAATGAAAAGAAGACTGAATTCCTATTGTTTGATTCTGTTGACCAACATGATGAAATAACCATTGATTGTAATGAGGTAACTTTCACAATCAAGGAGTGCAAAGAGACAAAATATCTTGGCCTCATTCTAGATAGTAAATTAAACTTCAAAAGCCATGTAGATTATATTATTAGGAAGGTCATGAAGAGAATTGGTGCCATGTATAGAAGTAAAGCACTGCTACCCATTAAATATAGGAAAATGTTTGCCAATGCACTCATGTTGCCACAATTCGATTATTTAGACACGATCTATTGTAGAGCTGGCAAGACAAAACTTGCTGAACTTGACACTCTGTACAAAAAGGTAGCCAAAATAGCTCTCAACGTTCCAAAAACAGAGAGCAGCCTTAATGTTTATAGAGACATGAAATGGTTACCACTCCATCTTAGACGACAACTCCATCTGTCAAATTATATGTTTAGAATCATCCATGACAATTGTCCTACAAACTTTATGAACAAATTTAGTTACATATCAGGAGGTAGTAGGAGCGGCGAAAGCTGCAACCTTTATGTCAATAGATCAACATCACATAAAAACTTTCAATACTTGGGGGCAAAATGTTGGAATAATGTTCCAACAGATCTACGAAATCTGCCCGATGTTAAAAGCTTTAGTGATTCGTATAAGAAACAGCTACTATCATCTATAACAACAGACGACAACTTCCTGTTTTTTCTTCTATATTAGTTACTCATATCTCTTGTACAGACTTTTTTACAAGGACATTGACAAATGATACTCACATTAGGCATTCATTATTGCATCTAAATTATTTCACTTGCATTAGGCTTAGAAATTTATTCTCTGGTCAACAGATTTCAAATGTTTAATTAATTTGTAGTATGACAGTAAGGTATATAAGAAGTTATTTAATTTTGCTTGGGCTATTATATTGACTAGGTATTGAGGTTTAATGATGATATGGAATTTGAATTCTATATAAATTTACACTATGTGGTTGGGGCATTTTGCATAGTAAATATGGTTACTACTCATATATATCATATTATTTGATTGGTATTCGATTTCTGATTATTTCTCTAGGAATGTAGTTATTATATCTCAATTTGGCTTTAGGTAGGGTGCCCCGCTAAAAGAACTGGATTCTTCCAGGAAGCATCCCGTGCACAGAGCTTGGTCTACATATATATTAAATTATTAACCATTCATTCTGTATGTGCACGAAAATTTATTTCAATCAAAAAACCTCGATATATCTGGCTTTCTATGTGGATACTCTGGTTATCACTTATCACTTCAATAGTTGAATGTATGATTTCTATATGTAGGGATAAGTGACAAAAGATTTGTCGGATGAAAGATTCGGTATATATGTAGATATTTGGATTCTGTGATTATGACTCTATTGACTGTTATATTCTTATATTGACTTAAATATTGGCTGCAAATTTCTACGACAATTGAATAGTCGCCTGATTCATTGAACACACATTGTTAACTTGTACAACCATTCTACACACATCCTTAGTCTTTCTACATACATCCTTAGTCTCCTGCATTATGTCAGTTAATGATAATATGTTAATGTGTGCTAAGTCTCAAAGCTTCCCAATTATAACGAGGCTACAGTACACAGCATGTTTTACATTTTCTCTAATGTGATACGTTAGGAGAGCCCAGTATTTTGCCTGCAGTTTGCATTAAATAGTACAGACAGGACGTTTCCTAGCACGCTGTATTTGCGTGTGTAAGCTATTTTTAGTCGCAGAAATTACAGACAGTAGTGGTTTGGTATCAAAATAGCATTGGCTAAATGCGTTGCTGATAACATTATGGTACATGTTGTGTTACATACTTTATAAACATGTAATTGTAGGTACATGTACAATGTACATCGTACCAGTTTTAAGAGAAAAAGAAACAATAATGAAAATATTTGATAAATACCACAGCCGGTTGGAGATGACTTATTCGAATTTGATAAAATTTAGCAATAAATGTGGACCGTCTCCTCAATAGTATAGTGGTGATTATTTCCGCCTGTCACGCGGACGACCAGGGTTCAATTCCTTGTCGGGGAGCTTTTAAATCTCGGTAATACAGCGCCATTCAACTTTCCGATATTTTCAAACGTGTTCGTCTTCCGACAGCTGCTTTATATCGGGCAGTACCACTAAATACAATAGCGCTTACTCACTGAATGTGGCAATATCGTCACGTCTGGTCTTATGAACTGCAAGATTGTAAGTATAACGTTAACAGTATGAGGCTAAGTTACTAAAGTTACTAAAGTTACTAACTTCTAGCTCCCTCGCCCTCACCCTTACCCTCGGGTTTCCAGGCCTATTCCTCATGTTATACGACAGAAGGAACGATATTATAGCTGTTTTCAAGGCTGGTCCCTTTTGTAACATATTTCTAATGTGTTCAATATTTAATAACTAATTTTACACAATATGAATAAAAAGCCTTGTTTACAGTTTATTGTGTTAACAGTTTTACACCTAACATTTGTAATGAATGGCGTGCACATGACTAAATATACATGTATAGTAGTAGTAAACCCGCGATGGGGTGGCATGTGCCTCAATAAAAATATTACAATCATTTATTATTATATCAATTTATCGTTAAATATTTCAAAAATATATCAATAACGTATGGTTGATCCTTCACACTTGGTAAAATATATAAAAATAAAGTTAATCTACACTAAAGAATAAATAATCTATATTATATAAATCAACAATATTAACTCCCCATCTTCTTGTAGTCATTTATCAAAGCGGTAGAAATCCAAGTAATTTTAGTACGCGGTGCGCAAGGAATTTCGTTTTAAAAAATGTGTAGGCAAGATAAGCCTAAGTGTGGCAGTGAAAATTGAAAAATAAGTTGCAGAATAAATTGCAGTGACTGACTGTCAAATGCATTATCGCAGTTCATTTATTTGACTGCACTAACGTTTAGGATTCTTACAGCTGTTATATTTTGCTAATATTTTGTTTAAAAGTTGTAAAGGACAAAGTTCTTGTCCGTCCACGAAAGGTTTTCTAGGTCAAGTTTTTGTTTGTCCTGTAAGTAACGTACAATGTTGTCCTTGTATGAATTAATAAACTTATCTTGTAACTTAGGTACGTTGAAGGGAAGGATTTTATTTATTTCGTTTATCGTGTTGTTATATAATCGTGGTCCTACGTTAGAGATGCTATAATCGGTGATCCGTAATCTGTTGAACTTAATTTCAAAATACTTTGGATTTCTCCTTTCCGTTTGTCTAAGCGGTGATTTTTCAAATATACTACAGATACTCGATGGTGCTACTCCCATATAAACCTTGTGCATCAAAGTTAGACAGCTTTTAGCAATGAGATTAGGAAGAGCTAAAATTCCTATTTTGTTGAAGATGGATTTTGTGTGAGATGGTAGTTTACGTTTTTCTTTGTCGTAAAAATAGTTATGATATTCTGAATCAGTGGCGCGAATAGCTTTCTTTTGAGCAGAGAATAAAGACTGAATGGAATTTAAAGATTTAGTACCCCAAACAGTAGCGCAGTAATACAGGTGAGATTGAATTAAACTATTGTATAGCATTTTTTGAGCTTTATTCGGAATGGAACTTTTAAGTTTCATCATTACGCCTGCATTTCTGGATATTTTAGTCTTTAACTGTTTAATGTGCTGGCTCCAGCTAAGTTTTGAGTCAATAATGACACCTAAAAAACGTTCATGTTCACTTTTCACTAGTCGCTGTCCTTCTATACTAATATTTATATCCTCTGGTAATCTGTTAGTGAATATCATGTATTTAGTTTTTCCTACATTAAGTTTAAGACCGTTGTTTTTAACCCATGTCTGTACAGTATTTAAAACTCTGTTTGCACGCATGTTCAGTTCAGTGTACGTGTCGGCAGAAACGATGATGTTTGCATCATCAGCGAAGAAAATATAACGGGCTATATCGCTTACATTTGCAAGGTCGTTTATGTAAATAATGAACAATATAGGACCAAGAATGGACCCTTGAGGAACTCCATGTTCCAATCCCATTTTTTCTGAACTGCAACCGTTGACGTGAACATACTGTTTCCGGTTAGTTAGATAAGACTCAAACCAGGATAAGCTAAGGCCTCTTACACCATAGTGCTCCAGCTTATGTAGCAGTATCTCACTATCTACTAGGTCAAACGCCTTGGAGAAGTCAAGAAGCAGTAATGCTGACACTTGCTTCCTTTCTAGAGCTTTATGTAAGTTAAACTGAGCTTCAAGCAACGCATGTTCACAACTGTGACCCGATCTAAAACCAAATTGCGACGCATATAGAATATTACGTGATTTTAGGTGCTTTACTAAACGTGCATGCATTATTTTTTCGAATATCTTTGAGAAGCAGGACAAAAGTGAGATTGGTCTGTAGTTTGTAATTTCGCTGCGCGATCCTCCTTTATGAGTTTATGGAGTGGGATAACCTTAGCAAGTTTGAGCTTTTCGGGGAATACTCCTTCGTGAAGGGAGTGTGAGATCAGGTGATTAACTACTGGAGACAGCACATTGCAAACCTTTTTAAGAGGCTGTATATTCATATCTGAAGTCGATTTGTTCTTAAGATCATGTATGATTTCAGCAATTTCGGAGGGCGAGGAGTCCTCCAGCTCCATATCAAAATCACATCGACTAGATTGGGGAAGATAATGTCCTACTGATCCTGCACCGCGAACCAGATTGTTTTCGCTCTTTAGGTTCTCAGCTATATTAGTAAAATAATCATTAAAACTGTCAGCTATATCTTGTGAGTCGGTTATAACTCTATTTTTATAGTTAATCTTACTTATTTTTCTTTTTTCTTTTGATTTCTTGTTTAATATTTGATTAATCATTTGCCATTGTAATTTGCTATTGCTCGCATGCTTTTTAAAATATGATGCGTAATACTTCTTTTTCGCAATATCTACTTGTTTTTCAACAAACTTTTTCATATGCTTATAAGTTTTTTCATTTTTTTCAGTAGGCTCTTTAACAAAGGATTTATATAATTGGTTCTTTCGATTGCATGCACATTGAAGCCAATCTAATATCCACGGTTTAGAGTTTTTTCTGTGGTTTGATTTTTTCTTTTTAACTGGAAAACACTCATTATAGACTTCTTCATATTTAGTGTGAAAAGCTTCAAATTTTGTATTTGTCCCGTCAACGTTGTGTAAAAAATTCCAATCAATAGACGCTATTTTCTCCTCAAAACGAGCGATTTTCTCTTCATTTATTTCTCGGTTTGATGATTCACAAGTTTCATTTTTCAATTTATTTCCTATTCTATTAGTGTCGAGAAGTATGCCGGTAAATGTGGCAAGGTGATCAGATAGCGATTCAGTTATAATGCCTGACTTTGTTATAGCATGGCATTGGTTTACGAAAATGTGATCAATAAGTGTAGCACTGTGACAAGTAATACGAGTTGGTCGTGATATCGTTGGTGCGAATCCATACTCTGCAAAAATATCAACATATTTAGTAGTATGGTCATTTACGCCGTATTCTAATAGATTAATATTGGTATCACCTAGAAATAATACGTTTTTGTTGCTATGTCGCGCCAAATCTTTTAGGGTGTTTTCCAATTTTTCTAAGTAACTGGGGACATTACCACTGGGAGACCGATACATATTGCATAGTATGATGTTTTTGTGGCCATTTTGAGCTATCTCTATTAACTGAAATTCGCCAACGTTTGGATCATCTCTATAAGATAATTCAGATCGTGCAGTGACATCAGATAATTCACAGATATTCTTGTTTACATAGGTTACTAGACCACCGCCCTTACCAGAGTCCCTTGCGGGAGCCTGAATAAAGGGGGGATGAAAGCCTTCTAACTCTAATTCTTTTCCTTGAAAAGCCATATTTTCAACCGTGCAGTTTGTTTCGTTGAAACACAGAACATCAAATTTTAGGTGCTGTTCAATTTCATCACGTATATTAGAGATTGCTTTGCTCAAAGATCGAATATTAAGAGATTGTACTTTAAATTCATAAGGCCTACTCGTGTTGATTTGCCGTGGTTCGTAGTATTTACAGCTATTTAGTACATCTGAGCAGTTATCCCACGGATTAAAGTTTAAGTCATTGTTTTCTTCAAAAGTATTACCTATATAATTAGAGTCATGGTTTCTATGGTATGGGTTAAATTTTGCGCTATTCTCGTAATTACCGTACTATCACTATTACATCAATATCTCCGTATCGCGGGTTTATATTGTGTTGATGGTACACTACTGTTCCTGGATCATGTTGAGTCATTCATTAAATTTAAACCACTTAACTTTTTAATTGCTATGACTAAAAATACGATGTAAATGTCTGCTACGAGAGGATGAAACAGAGATATAGTAGCTAATAGCTATAGTGGGTTGGGTAAAGGGTATTGCTAATCCTGGATCTTAAAGGGCGTTCAATTTAATTCAATTTAGGTTAATCAATGATACATTTTCGTATAGTACAAGGTATAACTCTGCTGTCCCAACTCCCAGATAATAAAATGGCAGGCACTAATATTCTCTTTCAATAATATTGTATGGGTGTATGCATGTGAATTATGTTTCGAGTTTTTCACATGTGATAAAATATACTATAATATTATGTTTCAAGTCTAGTCCTGTCTGAACTTAAACTGCTAAAACTACATCTATTCTGATGTTTGAAGTAACTAAAATTTTTACAATGTACAATGTACACTAGCTGTACAGTGTACATTGTATAATAATTACCAGCGACACGCAACAATGAGTTCTGATGTACGATTAATTAAACAAGCTGCCGTATTTTTTGTACAGTTCTAGCAAAGAAAGTGTAACTTCTTATCTGACACCGTGACACCTAGTGTGTAATGTTGTCTTACTGCGTACCTGATAGTTGTAACGTAATATCGCTTGTAACTAGACATATCAAGGCTTCACTTGTCTTATAAAACTCGAAACACATGTCACATACCGTCAGCCGGTCAGCCGTGTTTTAAGTAACTACCCACACGTACGTTAAGACACACTGTACATTTTACAAACATATCTTATTCTTAATAACTCAGTAATAAGCAGCCTGACAGATTTGTTGAGGCGCGTAATTGGAGATAATTCGGTTGCAGAAAAGACCCCCAAGGTTAAGCATGCATTCTAGAAAAGATCCATGTAAGTTCCATGAACCAAACTAAGTTTGTGACCCCCCCCGGCCCCCTTAACCCACTTAACCTGACAATAACCCTCAGGTGAAATAAAGATGCCTCTCTCAAAAGAGCAGCTCCAACAGCTGCACTACGCCACACGCTCCCACCAAACCGAACTGATGACTGTTGCGGCGCAGTTCCTTGCCCACTACGCAGATGTGCTGCCTATGAACAGTCCTGTCTCCGTTGAGGCTCTGGAGTGCACGCTGGCTCTTATGGACCTCGACACTATCGAGGTATGGATATTTGGTTCTGTTTATTCAATTATTATTGCATGAAAAATCCAGTGTTGTATAAAATAGTGCCATATTTATTTCAAATAAATCATGGTTTTAAATGATATTAAATATCTGGGTGACTTACATCATATTCATATTTATTCCATTTTATATTTAACAGAAAATAGTGGAGAGATCAACTGATTCACCATATCTCGTGAGAACCTAATGCTAATATACAAGCACTTTGTCGCATTATTGTAGAAAATCAGTCAGAACTGAGAAGCTAATAAATAGTTATAGTGCTCTCTCTCTCTCTCTCTCTCTCTCTCTCTCTCTCTCTCTCTCTCTCTTTCTCTCTCTCTAGTAGTTTAAAGAACTTAGCATATTCTACAGTCTAGTTCTATAGACCTTACAACATTGTACAACATCTGTATTTCTCTAAAGAGCACTCGTAAAAGCACACATGACGGCGCTATCATTTGTAAATTAACCAGCTTTACAGAGTAGTCTGCTGTGCTAGAGTGTAGAACAAAGCTTTTTACTGTGTCAGCTTGTCTACTTGCACAGTCGACTACTTAGTCTAGGTTACATTCAGTTACTTACAATACCTTACAATACCTTACTTACAAAACCTTACTTACAATACCTTACTTACAATACCTTACTTACAATACCTTACTTACAATACCTTACAATACCTTACTTACAATACCTTTCTTACAATACCTTACAATACCTTACTTACAATACCTTACTTACAATACTTTATAATTACAATACCTTACTTACAATACTTTATAATTACAATACCTAACTTACAATACCTAACTTACAATACCTTACTTACAATACCTTACTTACAATACCTTAAAATACCTTACTTACAATACTTTATAATTACAATACCTTACTTACAATACCTTACTTACAATACTTTATAATTACAATACCTAACTTACAATACCTTACTTACAATACCTTACTTACAATACCTTACTTACAATACCTTACTTACAATACCTTACAATACCTTACTTACAAAACCTTACTTACAATACTTTATAATTACAATACCTTACTTACAATACCTTACTTACAATACCTTACTTACAATACCTTACTTACAATACCTTACTTACAATACCTTACTTACAATACCTTACTTACAATACCTTACTTACAATACCTTACTTACAATACCTAATACCTTACTTACAATACCTTACTTACAATACCTTACTTACAATACCTTACTTACAATACCTTACTTACAATACCTTACTTACAATACCTTACTTACAATACCTTACTTACAATACCTTACTTACAATACCTTACTTACAATACCTTACTTACAATACCTTACTTACAATGGCACAATAACAAATCTCAATAGCTACTAGTTAGGTTACTTACAGTAATAATATTATTGTCTAGAATCAAAAAAGCTTAAATAAATTTGTTATATATCCTCACTCCTCAGCTCTTTTCTTAGCTAATAGTCTTACTTTCAATTCCTTGTAGCTGTATCTCCTTACATATCTCTCTTTGAACTGCATGTCTGATAATATGGAGTATAGCGTGTATTGCTAAGTATTGTTAGTTTGTATACACCATATTAGATGAGAAACAGAAAGAGAGCCAGTAATGAAACCGCACAATTCTCAAAAATTATACATTTTATGAGAAAATGAGATGGATAACCTAGGGTGATGATAATAAGTTCCCCTTCATTTGGAAACTGGTGTCTATAATATTAATCTAACTAATCCCTCTCCCAGGTACTAATCCCGGCGAGTTCGGCAGTGTCCGTGATGAGCTCTAACGGTGACGACACCGTACGGGAGAACCTGGCAAAGCGCAGCGTGATCCGGCTGGCGGTGCGCTTACTGCGGAGTCCCAGCAACCCTGTGGTGGTTAACGCGCTTGCTATCCTCACAACTTACGCCGGATCAGCGGACAAGTACAAGATCAGTGTTGTGAGGGACGGAGCTCTGAATCCTTTGTGTGAGCTTGCGTTCAGTGAAGATAACAGGGTGAATTGATCTCACATTCTTGAAATTCTTTGTTAACTATTTTTCTTTACGTGCTTCCCATCATCCTCACAACTGTTAAATAGCCAATGTTTACTTTAACGCTGCTCCTATCCCTCCAGATACAGAAGGGCTCAGGAGGAGCAATCCTGAACCTGTCTCACATAGACACTCACTGTGAACAACTCCTGATATGCGGGGTATGTGAGAGTCTACATCACTTCCTCATCTCTGGGGATCATCATCTCCAGTTTTACGCCGCTGCCACTATCTCTAATTTGTCTGTTCAGGTAATGTCAGGAGCGATCTTGTTTTACATTTTTATTTTAATATAAAAACCTGTCTCAGTACGAAACTATTAATTATTGAAACTGGCGAACATACCCCAACATTGAGAACTATTTAAACAGTTTTGATTTTACAAATCCATGGTTAAATATTTGCAGTTGTACTTCCTGTCTAGCTTAATAACGACAGCGTAACTATAATCGAAGTCGACTACTTACTACTTAGTCATAACTGCTGATTTATTTATGTTGATTGAAATGCCAATAAAATGTAACTCGCCTAATTCAAATACTTTTAAAAGTGAGCATGGGAATCAAATTTAACTCCACTTGACAGTAAATGATCGGGATCAAGTCTAGTAACAAATACAGTTAAACCATTACACTATGTGTCGACATTAAGTGCTTCTGATTGACTTCTGATTTGATAACCCAGATATTAACCACCTTTGACAACAGTTTAACGATTCTTTTAGTAACTTATCATGCAAAGTTTCCTAAATTAAAGAGTTCAGCCAACAAAGTTTTAAAGTGAACAGCTGCTTCCTTGCGTAGTTTTTTTTCCAGATTTTATCTGAAAAATACGAAGATAAATTTCGTATATTGCAGGTGGAAGACCCAAGTGGACTGGTGAATGATGAAGGTTTGCAAAGTCTAGTAAAACTGCTGAGAAGTTCAGAGAGACTTATACAACAGTCCTGTATCGCTCTTCGTAACTTGGCGTCTCAATCAGCCATGCAGGTTCGTTATTTAGTAACCAGGATTCTTAGTAACCAGGTTGCTTAGTAACCATGTTACTTAGTAACCATGTTACTTAGTAACCATGTTACTTAGTAACCATGTTACTTAGTAACCAGGATAGTTAGTAACCAGGATACTTAGTAACCGGGGATACTTAGTAACCAGGATACTTAGTAACCAGGATATTTAGTAACCATGTTACTTAGTAACCAGGATAGTTAGTAACCGGGTTATTGAGTTGCTTAGTAATCACCCTACTAAGTTACCGGGCACTGAGTTACTATTTTTGCAAATGGTACAAAATAGTGTAAACTGTAAGCGTGTATTATAGCTGTACAACAATTATACATGTCATATTACATGATACGCTACACACAGGTCACGATTTAATTGTTTGACAGTCTTCTAGATCATGCAGATAATTCTAGATACTACTAATTATACATTATTCGATAGTGCCATCAGCCATACCTAGTACCTATGTAATAGTACATTACTTGTACTTTTACAGTGTATAAAGTCCCTGCAATTTCCTCAACTGGAATTCTCACTTACTTCTTGCTCAGCTCTCCTTTAAAACTGAAACTCCTAAACTAAACCCCTCACTAACCCCTCGTTAATCCCTCACTAACCCCTCACTAACCCCTCACTAACCCCTCTGTCCCCTCAGCTCTCCTTTAAAACTAAAACTTCTAAACTAAACCCCTCACTAACCCCTCGCTATGCCCCTCAGCTCTCCTTTAAAACTGAAACTTCTAAACTAAACCCCTCACTAACCCCTCTGTCCCCTCAGCTCTCCTTTAAAACTGAAACTTCTAAACTAAACCCCTCACTAACCCCTCACTAACCCCTCACTAACCCCTCTGTCCCCTCAGCTCTCCTTTAAAACTGAAACTCCTAAACTAAACCCCTCGCTAACCCCTCGCTAACCCCTCTGTCTCCTTAGCACCGGATAACAGACTGTGAGGTGCTGGAACCACTGTACCCACTGCTCCGGCACCACGATCCCAACATACAGACAGCAGCCCTGTCCCTTCTACACAACCTTTCAATACTGGAGGAGAACGAGGCTAAAGTTATCAACATGGGATATGTTCCTGAGGTAAGGAGGGTAAGGAGGGATAAGGAGCGGTAAACTGTAAATTGCTGAACAAATATAGACGGTTCTAAATAGATGTTTTTTACGCATTATATTCTAGAACAATGAAATCAGCTGGTGACTGTTGAAGCACATGTGTAACTTGGATTATGTATTGTGATGGTACATCCGATATACTAGACCAAACTCTGATCGGAATCTTGGGTTCAGCTATTATTCAGTCCTCTTATCAGCCGGCGTATGACTTTCAATATTGCTACTCACAGTGAAATTTCCCTCGGTCAAGGCAAATAAATAACTTTTGTGGAGCCTAACCAATCTTCTACTAACATTAAAGAGCCACCAAATTACTCTCCAGCGCTCAGATGGTTGCTGTAGTTCTGTGAACTTTTAATACATTTTCAGATACTACCATTTGTTTCCGCTCACCAGTAAATTTAACTGAGTCCGATACCATGGTAACAGTGTAAGTTGTGCAGTGTAAGATATACACGTGATGTACATTGTTCACGTGGCCGGGTACACATATGTGTACATTGCCCACTAGTCACTACCTGGTTATATTAGCCCTCTGATACGGAAATGACCTATTAACTGATACTCTGAAAGGTGCATATAGTGTACCTAATGTATCTAGTGTACCTAATGTATCTAGTGCACCTAATGTATCTAGTGCACCTAATGTATCTAGTGCACCTAATGTATCTAGTGCACCTAATGTATCTAGTGCACCTAATGTATCTAGTGCACCTAATGTATCTAGTGCACCTAATGTATCTAGTGCACCTAATGTATCTAGTGCACCTAATGTATCTAGTGCACCTAATGTATCTAGTGCACCTAATGTATCTAGTGCACCTAATGTATCTAGTGCACCTAATGTATCTAGTGCACCTAATGTATCTAGTGCACCTAATGTATCTAGTGCACCTAATGTATCTAGTACACCTAATGTATCTAGTGCACCTAATGTATCTAGTGCACCTAATGTATCTAGTGCACCTAATGTATCTAGTGCACCTAATGTATCTAGTGCACCTAGTGGGCCTTATATCGACTGCTCATATTGTTCAGTACTAATTGAAGATTTAAGATCCTCCTTAGTCGCTCATTAAATATTATCAAATTTATGTACTATAGAAGCTACGAGATTGATTGCGTGTGCGGGATGATGATAATGCTTACATTTTCTGTAACATTTTTCCTGTATCAAGATTCAAGATTATCACGTGCACTAAAAGTATCATACTGAACTGTTCTCACGATACCCAGCAACTGTATTCGTGAAACATGGTGTAATTCTATATCATAGTCCCAGTACAATTTCCTTTCAAAATTGTATTCCAATAAAAAAGTCACTTTAAAACTTGGATAGTACTCATTATTCACCTTCCATCAAAAGCTGTGTCAAATCGGTTTCTACTATCCAGGTGACTGTGCGATGAATCAGTGACTTAGTCTTAAGGCCACATATTTTGTGGAAAATAGAAAAATGTATGTAATGTACAGAGAAATGTATACTCTTTTCTACTCGTGTGATGATCATTTTTCTTCACCGAAAGGAAAAGAAGTGTGCTGTTATGTAGAGATATTTTCATTGCAACAGTTTTGCTTCATAAGATCGAATACATACATTATTGAAATTTAAGGGGGCCGGGGGGGGGGGTCTTCATCAAAATTCTCTCGAAATTGATTTTATAGTTGTTTCTGATAGAGGGGAGTGATATCTATCAGCTGCTTTTGGTCCCATGGAAAAATATTGTTCCTAGCCAAAATTATCGCCAGTCAAAGGTCAGCGCTTATGTGTAATTGTATTGCGCGAGCGATTTTCAATCGCCCACCCTGAAAATCGAGTCTAAAAATCTATCTTCTCCTACATTTTTTGAGCAATCACCCTGAAACTTTCAGGATATCTTCTATGGATCATTTAGAAGATATCTGTCGAGCCGAATTTTGAGATAGGCCTTAGAAGATTTTTTATTCAATTTTGAAAATCTTGGACCTCATTTTTTGACGATTTTTCCAGGTCCAAGATTTTCAAAATTGAATAAAACATCTTCTAAGGCCTATCTCAAAATTCGGCTCGACAGATATCATCTAAATGATCCATAGAACATATCCTGAAAGTTTCAGGGTGATTGCTCAAAAAATGTAGGAGAAGATAGATTTTTAGACTCGATTTTCTTGGCGCGCGATTGAAAATCGCTCGCGCAATACAATTACACATGAGCGCTGACCTTTGACTGGCGATAATTTTGGCTATGAACAATATTTTTCCATGGGACCAAAAGCAGCTGATAGATATCACTCCCCTCTATCAGAAACAACTATAAAATCAATTTCGAGAGAATTTTGATGAAGACCCCCCCCGGCCCCCTTAATGTATAAGTAATATAAAAGTATGTTAACTATTCCGCACACGAAAATTAAATTTGCTACATTTAATCAAAGCAAACGTTAAATTAGTCTAATCGTATCTCCTTTCAAAATACTATTATTGGGTGGGGTGTAAGTTGAAACTCTCCTTTGAAATTGTTTACAAATTCTGTAATATGAGACGTATGATGAGGGTTAGCTGACGTTTGATATGAAAGCAGTGTAGAATATAAAGATAGACGGTGATTATTGATTTTTATGTAGACAAAATAGACGTATCTCGATTCTCGAGGAGACACGCTTGTAACTCGACTCATTGACATTAGTTTAAAATGTAAGAGTATTATACCATCTGGTCAGTACATGAATACTACTTTCTTGTCAAACAAGATCTTCTAGAACATTCTATAACCTTCTGTAACTACAAACTCTCTGTAACCCTGCCTCCCCCTCCAGTTGACCCTAGTAGTCCGACAATGGCAGATCCCAGAAGGACAGCGCCACGCAGCAGCCACCCTCCGTAACCTGGCAACACCAGAGCACATCTCTACTCTGGTAACTTCAGGGGTGGTGGAGGTGTTGGTGGGCGTGGTGACCAACGCTAAAACACTCCTCCCAGTCCTGCACGAGGTAATTTTGTTATGTAAATCGGACATTTATTATATTATTATTAAGAACTTTTATCATTTATGGAACATAATTTAATGTTTCGGAAATATTCTTATATCAGTTCACTTACGCTTTTCTTAGTAACTAAAAGTCTACAATAATTTTATCTCAGAGTCACGCCGATAACTTCACGCCATTTCGGCCATTATCACAGCCTCCTTTTTCTAGAACTTGATTCTAGTAACTCTATACAAAGCGTATTTAAATACTATTAAAAGAATGTTAAACAAGTTAACTGTTACACTTTTTTGCATTCCTAAGTCATGTTTGGACCCACGCCAGTGTTGTGACCCGTATGACTCGTGTTTGGATTGTACTAATTATATAATATGATAGAATGTATGCGATGCTTCATGTCGAAGGTATCATAGAGCTTCAGTTACAACTTCTGAAGATCACTGATATCTCTATCTATAAACTAGATATACGATATCAGTTGAAACATCCTCATTGCACTCAGTTAATTACAATGTTAATTACAATGAAACAGGTGTGAAAGAAATGATCAACTTCTGACCGCACGGGACATGTGCTTGATTGGAGTTGATAGTGTGGTCAGCACATGAACTAGAGTGTTTAAACTGTGAAAATAAGTTGACTTTAACCACAGTATCTAATAACAACTAACAACAGCTTCCTAACAACAGGTGGCAGCCGTGTTAGCTGTTCTGTCACGTGACATGGAAGCTCAGTCTCGGCTCCTTCACCAACTTCCCGCTGTCTCCAACATGATGCAACTGTTTGCTCATTTTATCAGGACAAGGCAGGATATGAAACTTGTTTTCTACTCCCTGGGTGTCATCGGGGGTATCTCGTCTAATGGTGAGTGGGCTGATTTGTTACGATGTTTCTTAACAAAGGATTGCGTGAGGACTTGTGTTAATGAATAAAAAAGTATATAAATTAATAATGATCTATACAATTATTGTTTCATTCAATGTTAAAAAGGTCATGTTTTTATCCTAGATTTCTAGATTTTTACATGATGTAACAGACATTTTGCATTATTCCCATAACAGTGTGTAATTATAAGTTGTGTCACTTTTATTCTTGTATCTTTATTTATTTTTTACTGTTAACCGTGCCAAGATATTTCCAACAACTGTTCATTCCAATTTTACTGTGCTACATTTGTGCGCTATTTTTATATACACGTACAGCAACTATAAAAGCAATTATGAAAGTATGAAGTTACCCTGAAACCAAACATTAAAGTAAACAACATAAAGTATTTAAAGTATTTAACGTATTTACAAACCACAGGTACGTTACGGGATGTGGTAGTGCAGAACACTGACATAGTCTCCCAAATAACCCACTACATTACCCCGGATACTCCCAGTGACCTGATCAAGGTCGTACTCTGGACCACCGACCTTCTATATGCTCGTAAGTTACACAGTTAACTAGGTTTTTAGTTAATTAACTATATATGATTAATTAATAGGATCATTAGGTAATTGGTAAATGTGGATTCTGCTGGTGAGGCATATTTTTTTGACGCGTGACAGAAATTAACCAATCAGCTCAGACTATCTTCCAATCAAACTCCAGAATCACAGTCATGTGTGAAAAATATTCCTAGCACCTTCCTACTAGAACCCAAATCTATGATTTAATTATTAGGGAAATGGGAATTAATAATTAATTCGTTGGTGGTCATATTTTTCTGGAGAGCTATAGTTTTAAATTGGGAACCTTCTATGTCAATAGACCAGCATAACTTCATATGTCTATTGTCTAGCCATTGTTGCTTTTATGCTACCAATTTCACAACCTCAGTGATATCATAAAAAGGTTTTATACGCGCACTGTGTTTTCAAAACAAGGAAAAGTTGCTCTTCAGTAAACCCACAATATTTCAGACCCAACAATAAACGGCGGTGTAAAGAATGAGATGCTAGCCAGTGTAACTCACCTTAAAGCTCACGCATCGGACCACGACGTTATTGGAGCGTGCGACGACTTACTTGCACCCAGCTGACCTTATCACATGACCCATGTTCATATCACGTGATTACTATGCGGGAATACCGAGCTGAGGATGGAGGAGGGCACGAGGGTGCGTGGATATTGTGGACTTTGCGATTTTATACCCCAAGATATGTGAATTGTTTGCAGATAAAATGATCAAATCTATTTTAACTATTGCTTAATCATTTGTACGGATCGTTGAATGTATTATTTATTGGTTCTGCTATTTGATATATTGTACAGTCCAGGAATTTGCTTAAATAGCATGCTATCAAACGCTGCTTTGAAATAGTGTGCTACCAGAATTATTGTTTACGGCGTTTTAACTTAAAAGCTCTAATGTTTCGCGGACTTTATTGGAGTGAAAATTGAATAGAGTTTGACTTTGTAAAGACCAGCCAGATTTGATATTAACTTGAGATTTTAGCGCAGCTTGTATATTTTATACTCAGTGAGGGGAATCATCATTGGAACATTTTCCTCTCGTCCTATTTCGAGATTTGAATGCTTCTATGTTAAAGTTAAAGATTAAACCCGTGACGATCACTCGATTTGGTGTTTGTAAATCTTTAATTGTTCTGGTTTACACTTAACATCGTCACATTCTAAATTTTAGAGAATTATATATGTACGTGTTTTCCTTGGCCAACATTCTTCTATATAAATATTTAGAACATTGACCCGTGTACTAACCCTTGTCTCAAAGACTTGTCAGGTTTCTGATCGTATGTCAAATATAGTCCAACGTTAATGCAAATAGTAATCGGACACATAAAATGGAGCGATATTTGTTTGCACGCATTTAAAATGGAAATTAATTTGTGAGATGGATAAAGCTCTTCTTGTCTATAAGTTGGCATATATAAATTAAATTCTTCCATAAGTTTGCTATGAACCTGAAGTATTTTAAATCCACTGTCCCCCGTATGTCATCAGTATCAATCTGCCATTCTCTGACAGCTACAGCTCTATAAGTCTATTTATCACGGTACGTTAAAGAAACCTTGTCAAAATGAATAAGTAGCATTGGAAAATCTGGTATAATGCCAAGTTTAACATAGCTTAGTATCAAGATGGTCGCTGGCAACCTTGTCTCTGATATAATGATTAAACATTGTCTGTGATCTCGGGGGTTTTCAATTAGTTCTTTTTGTCATGCTAATCAAATCCCGACATAAGAGAAACGGGTATTCGGAGACAATAACAATAACGTGAACTGTAGCAAGCTTTATTGTACATTACAGCAGGCACGTACAGTTGGTAGTTCGAACTGATACGTGACTGTCTTTTTAAAAAAAAGGTACTACACAAAAATCCAAAGCCAAATAACGACTATTTCAATTGAACAAGAAGTTTCTGTAACGCGCGGAAATAATAATACGATCAAATGTTTGGTCACGTGACAAAACTTAGAATCATGACGCGCGCACGTACGCTCTTTTAAAATGCATGATGCAGGTAACGTATATGCATTTTATTCCAATCGCAGAACTAAAAAAGCTGTAATTTTGTCATCCTGCACTTGCACCAAGTTCAAAACAAGTCTGACGTTGAGAAAACAGAAAAGAAGACTCATGATTTTGTACCATTTCCCATCGAACATCGTGTTATTAAGTTCCTTATTCCTCCTACTGAAGCATTACTTTTGCAATAACCATACACTGTGGTGTTTAAATATTGTTATTAGTTTCAGATCATTTTTTACGAATTTGTACGTCTACATGTTACAAAGCCGTAGTCTGTAAGTTATCTAAAATGGCCAGGTAGCGCAGTTGGTTAGAACGCCTGTCTTACAATCGAAAGGTTGCGAGTTCGAAACCCACTGAAGGCCGGGTCGTGGGGTGAGCGTCGTCGACGTTCAGCTAAGGATCATGAGTGGTCTATGCAACCCCCCGATCTACTCAGCCGAATACTCGAGAAATCGGGTGTGAGGGTTAAATGAGGAGCTGCACATTGCAGCAAAGTCTCGGACGAAGAAAGTATGGTACACACTACCTTAACCGTCACTGGCCAAAAAGATCCTTCGGCTTCCTGTAATTGACTGGTTGCACTTGTGTAACATTGTGGCTGTTGGAATACACCGAAGTAAAATAAGTGTCTAGACAAAAAAAAATCACTAATTTGAATTACTTTCCGTCAGCAGCTATACTTACTATACCGGTTGATTAGATCTAAAATCATGAAAATTGTACGTTATAACCTTGAAATTACCCATACCATGTTATCTTATAACGCCAGGAAAATTGATAATTATACTGTCATATATACACCGGTCCACGCTGGCCCTCCTCGGCATCCTCTTTCATCATCTCATTTCAAAACTGTCTGTTGAGTGAAAGGCCGCTGCTGCTAATTGTATCAATCAGAATCCCAAAACATGAGGTTCCACTATTTTGAGTATTTGGGGTCTGGGGACGATGGTCCTGCACCGTTACAGAATTATACAGTCTTGTTTACCCTCAAGTATCCTTCTTTGAAGTCTCTCCAATGACGTGCTCCGTACTGTATCGTATTCCATTACAAGCTGTAATTACAGTCAGTATAGTCACTGTTACCCAATAAGACCATGTCATGAAATCACAGAATCCATTTGCCGTGCAGAGTGCAATCATGCGGGAATAATGACAAATGACGGAATGTAGAATGAGAGCGTGTTTAAAACAGTTTAGAAGTAATGTAATTGAGTGACTTTAACACAGACTCCTCAGGGTTGATACATGTTGAGGTGGGTCATGATTGCACGCGGAAAGCCCCTTGAAGGGGCGGCACAGATCAGGTAATTAATTCGCCCCACTTTTGCCTCTTAGCATATGTGAGCGCTGACATGTATCTCGGTAATGAGAGTCCCCTATTTTCACGTGAATCTCATTTGACTGTCACCCTTGAGTCTGATTGGATGGCTAGCCCGCGCATGATACGTCACGTTGGATGCACGTGACATTCCGCGTGATCTGTCACCTGATTCTCTTAAATCTAATAAACGCCTCATTACGGCCCCCACTCATTTCACTAACCAGACGCAAACGCCTCTTGCACAGACCACCCTTTCGCGCCACTGATCTTACTTGAGCAGCAACATCAGCTGTACGGACATCATTTCGCAAATATGACAGCCAGTATTGTTGATGTTCTTAGTTGTCAACCCGACTTTGATATGTCCACTGATGTTAGTGATAATAAACTTGTTCGAGTCACACCCGAGTACACCCAGCAGCGTCCAGATGGCCACATCAAACGTCCAATGAACGCTTTCATGGTCTGGTCCCAGATTCAGCGTGCCAAGATCGTGAAGGAGAAGCCCAATATGCACAACGCCGCCATCAGCAAACAGTTGGGATCCGCCTGGAAACAGCTTTCTCCTGACGAACGTCTTCCTTACATCATCGAGTCCCAGAGGTTAAAGCGAGTACACAAACAACAGTATCCTGATTACAAGTACAGACCAAAGAAACGCTGCAGGACTACCAAGGAAGAATCAGATCCTCCTATGATCATGAGAAAACCAGCCGTCAGCCCACCAACCTCTCGTCCCAACTCCCCGGCTGTTGTTGGTTGTAGTTCGCCACCCTCTAGACCAACCTCTCCTCCTGCCGCCCCTAAATCTGTCCTTTCAGCCAGACTGTCAGCCAAACTCCTCCCCAAGACAGCTCTACCTCTCTCTGTCTCCACGAGGACCAAATCTGCCTCAACCTTCTCTCAGAAAACATCGACCTCCTCCAGATCTTCAACGCTGGAAACCTCAGTGCCGAGGAAGCGAACAACTCGTCACATCATCTCCCCTGTTGTGACAGCCACACAGCCTCTAACCAGACAAACTTACTCCCTTCCACAAATCAAGAGGAAACGGTCGCTCAAGATTGAGAGATCGACAGAAGCCAACGATCGTTTCGAGTTTGTGGAATCGACCCTACCCAGAAAAGTTGTTCATACCGGAATCAAAAGGTTAGTTTTGCATGTTTAGGTGTAATCTTTATTCCTCTCCGTTGCTTTGGCACTTACCGACTGAAATAACGTCACATGCATGCTATGTTATGAGTCATGAATTAGTTATTATCTGTGTTATTTCCATTTCTTTTAAAATTTTCATCAGTCACGGGGGCGGTGGCTGTATGATTTATGCTATCTTTTGTTGTGCTATATTATATTGTTATATTGACGCAGGTATCAAATTTCAGGTTCGTCACTGTTTTGGACCCACAAAATGGGAACAGCCGCCGGTTCAAGATCACGTCCACCTCTGCCTCCTCCTGCAGCAGTCCTTCCTCTAAACCCAGCCCTGAATCTCCCGTCAAGCAGAGTCCTAAATTCCAAGCCCGCTCACCAGTTCTTCCTCACGAGTCCCAGATAATATCGGAACTAGGCCCGCCCGATGAGATCCTCAGACCCAGCTACAATCTCGACACGAAGAAAGTGGAACAGTCTACCTGTTTGATCGACACGCTCTACTTCGACAATTACATGGACTACTTCATGGGGACTAAGACCGATACGGATTGTTCCCAATCGGACTATACCACGGCTGAGGTTTGGAACTTGATTAAGTTAGAGTCTCCTTTTTACAGTACCACTTGTTGTTGATAGTTTTGGGCTGTCTAGGTATGAAATGTACTCTAAATTATGAGGGTGTGGCTCTCTTTTACGTGTTCTCTTATTCTAAGACCCAGATTTTATAAGTTATGCGCTAATTACCTGGCAGTAGGCTATATGTTTTTAACTTGAAAGGCTATGAAAAAGTTATTTGTACGGCTTTTGATTTTGACCTGACGATAATTCCCTGAATCTCATTAATTACAATTAGAGACCCCTTAATTGTGTTAGGGACGCTCCCTATGTGATAATCTGATCGACTGCTGATGTTTCCATACCAATCTAAATTCCAACCCATCTCATTAGAGCTATAATGCCGCTAATTGCTTGGCATTTGGCAGGCCACTCTTGCAGAAAATTGATATAATAACGCCCCTAAATTTGAAAAAAGAATCCCCCAGCTCCCCTCAAGATTGATTCAAATTAAATCACACCTTTCCTATCTCATTGCACCAATCAAGTCACATGGAAATGACACTGTCAAATTAGACGTCCAATGTCTAACTTTCAACAAATTACCACCCTGGTCCACTCTCACCATTGTACAACGTCTCACCTAATTATAGCTAGTAAGATTAGCTTATCAATCCTCAATATAATGATCTTATTTGCGCATGAGAATTGAGACAGATCGAACTGTGCACCGTCTCTTGTAATAACTGCTATCGGTACAACTGTCTTAATTGTTCGTACCAGAACTTTGTAAGTGTAATTAGTGAATTAGAAGCTCCAAATAGGACCTCCTTCTCTCTGCCTCTTCAAATCCACAAAATTATACAAACAATTCCCCGATCTTGCGATTAATCGTCCATTGTGTCCACATGAAATAGTTCGTAAAATGAAATTATCATTATGAGGGTCCTGCTCTATAATAGTACAGCTCTATTATAATGACTCAGCTGTACTTTACCGGGGACTCTGGTACATTATGCTCCTTTATAAATACTATTATTGTAGAACTCTGAAAGGGAGCCCTGAGGGGACCGCCTAAACAACAATCACATCTCTCTCTTTAGCTCTGTTATAGTATCCTATAATACACCTTGTGAGCTCCTGGTAATAAAAAGCGGTAGAGGATTACATTATATTTCTTAACGATTATTCCTTTAGGGGAGTCTCAACTACCACGATCTTGATCTACTAAGTGGTTGATTCAAGTTTAAATCTGTATGGCATCTCTCATAAATTCTCAAATTGCGTCGGTAGTTCAAATCATAAAGTCCTGTCTCGCCTTCTACTTGAACTATCGAAGGCTTATTTCTCATTAAATTTAAGACTTCAATATTAAATGAATATTTAAGAATTACAAAAGTCAATCAGAACATGAACGGTTTGATATTGGTAAAATGTAAATCTTGGAAGAGTTCTTGTGAACCGTTAAATCTTTTAAAGATCGACACGAATAAGGCTTGAAATTGGGAGCATATACTGTAAACTTATCACCACCACTTCATTGTAGATCAATATATTATTTGAACTTAGTAGGCGCGAAACGATTATCAGTATATCCACTTCACTCGGCTGTATCCCCCCCTCTAAGTGTAACCTCGACCTACAACCCTTCACTTTTAACTTACTGCCATAATAAGCGGGTCTAACTAGACGTAAATACAGCGTCTCCCCCCACATAGCCTCCTGTATAGTTCCAGACTTCCGTCTGGTCGGGTACCCACCCCTCCTTACCCTTGCCAGGACCTTGTACTCAGATTATTATAGTGGGGTAGTGGCTCTCTGAAGTTCATCTCCCAAATTAGTATCCGGTTATGAGAGGAAGATTGGGTTCCAGCCCCCGTTATATTCCCCGTGTAGGGAGTGTAGGAATTTAATGTACAACACAATTTTAATCTCGACCACCAATTTCCCGTGTTATACAAGCCATGGCCATTGGCCCTACATTCTACAAGAACCAAATATGTTGTGTATTTGTGTGAGGTTGAGGTGAAGTAAAGTTGATTAAGTTCTTGAACTGGTGCTCACGGTAAGGTTTTGAAGGACTCTAAAACAAAATAAAGCAGTTTTGGATTACTGTAATTCGCCCTGTTTCATAAATAGTCATGATCACACCGGACTAGCTACACGGATACTCACTTTACAATTGCAGCTCTAAATTACAGTAAATGGATCCCTTATATTATAATGGATCCCTTTTATAACATCACTTATAAACATTAAACGGTTAAAAAGTTAAGATAAAACACCGCTATATTAGCTCTGGGAAACATCAGCAGTAAGGTGATTGTCGGCATTAAGCGGTTATACCTGTCTCTGATTGTCAATGTCTAATTGTTTGATGGGTTTTAATTTGAGATCCTGAGAATCGTTTAACGGGACTATCGGAGCTTAATGATGTTTGGTGTCATGTGTCATGACTCATGGGAGTCTTGGTGGATACTAATTGGGAATTAAGGTGTGAGAAAAACTTTATCGTGGGATTAGAGATATTAACATGACACTCGGCTGCCAGAAAATGTGCAGTTTTCCAAGGAATTTATTTAAGTATTTATTTTCGGGCTTATTTAATATATTTGATATATGACATGCAATAAATGCATGCGGGTATGGAATTCTACATATTTTGCCCCTTGAAATCATGATTATCAAATGATTTTATCGGCACCCAACCTCTTTTTTTTGTATCATTTGTTATATATGCTTTGTGCCAAATTCAATTATTTTTGTATTCTCTGCTATTTGGTACTGCGTAAAATGTTTAAAATATGTTATACAAACTTGAGATACTTTTAAGAGTTTTGTTTCTTTGTTAAGTTATTTTTGGTTATGATAATGATATATAGTATTAACTATTTGATGATGAAGTTTTGAGTATTACTTTTCCCTACAACCCGAAATTACAGGCCATCCTCTTGTCCCAGTGCCCCATTGGGTCTGAGAGTTGGAGCTTTACAGTTTACACTGCATACCATGTTGCTGTTTGGCTCCCGGAGGGTCGGAAAGCCCCTTAAAATCTAATCAAATAACGTTTACTCTCGACAAATCCTGACTGGACCACCTGCAGGGCATTTCCAAATCAAATTGCTTGCTCCTTCATAAATATTTTGATTGGCAAATACGGTGCTTGCTGAAAAACTATCAAGAACCAAGGTAGTTTCAGGGGGTCTGCATCGAGCGCAGACATGACCTCAAATCTCTTGCAAGTTCAAGGCCTCGTGTTAATCGTAATAAGCTGTGCTTGTGGACAAACGGGAACATACATGAATATCTAGATCAGCAGCATGTCTGGAAACCAATCAGTTTCCCGCGTTTAGTCTCGTGACTAATCTCACCCAATCGAATGCAAGCAGACGATTTGCTGGACAAATTCCGGCGGGTCACTTGGTCATTGAGTGAGCGATCACGTGGTGCGAGTTACACATGTTGGTCTCGCAGGACACTAGCCCCTCCCTCTCAACCGTTCCTTTCTAAAAATAACACCTCATTCCTCCTGGCACGTGTCATAAAGGATTTCCGTGTCCAAATTAGACAACACCGTTCAGCTGTTAAAACATTCCAACGGTCTACTGGTCTCCTATCTTTTATAATATCAGATACAGCTGTGCTCAGTGTTAACATGAGTAACCAGTATGCAGTATTACTATTAACCATTACGTTACCCTCCAATGTTAAGGCAGCCCTTTAGTTGGCTCATGACCTGTCAGCTGTCCTAACAAGCATGAGGGAAGTAGCATCTCACCGCTTTTTGACGTCATCAACCGCTTGATGAGGTCATAAAGGAGGCGCTAACCGTGTTCTTGCTAGCCATTTGGTTCCTGATTCTAGGTTACATTATGTCATTTTGAAACCGAATACTGGTCCAACCAGGATGTAGTATGTACACCTGTGCAGGTTACATGACATAATGTTTTGAATGGAAGGTCGGTTAGTCAAATTATTGGACACTAGCCAGGATGCAGCATTTCTCTCTTGGCATATACTCCAGGCGTGACAAATTTACCAGGAAACTGGTTTTTCCGGGCAACTAATAAGCCCTGCTTAGGATTCCTTTACACCGGCCCAAATTAGATAAACAGATATAGGAGTCGTAATTTCGTGTCGCAGACAATCCTTTCAGACATCATAATATCTAAGTGCTTAGCCAATTACCATCCGAATATGTACCGCAATGCGGTTAAAATGGTCCCTGAATACGAACAGACCCTTCATTCAATAAATTCATGATAATATGCATATTTCATACCCCTTATCATCACTGAATGATGTCTAAACTCTCATTTCTCAAGGTTATTTGTAAACTGCTAAAATGTTCACAGTACATGGAAAGTATTTCATGTGCTCATGATTCATATAATACGGCAGTTTCCAAATATTAAAAGAGACGGCGCTCACAAAATTAGTCATTCACCGACATATCATTTCATAATTTGAAATTCATTATTAAATACTGGTGATCAGGGACACATTTTAAACATGGGACGTAAGCCAGCGTGACACTAACTCCTACTTGTTACACACATTCTACACACCTGATTAACACTCAGACTGCTGTAAAATTATATCCACCCAACTGCTCACTGTACAGAGTATTATATCCCTTCAGACGGCTTCAGGGGCCAGCCAAATATCTTCTCAAATCACGCTGGATCCCCCTCCAATCACAGGCCAGCTGGGCCCTGTCCCACTAACCAGGACCCGGGAATTGTACCACGTGACTTGACAATCACGTGAGCTGCAGGAAGAGACGTCTGAGTGTGTTGTCATGGTAACAAATAGCGTGCCACGTGCAAGCCAGACTGCACAATTACAGTGCCCAGCTCAGTAGTGATTACTACACTAGGAAGACCGGGGCTGACAGATCCTCCTTACAAGGTTTTCTTCTCAAGGTGCAAAGATTGTGGGGTACAATCCATAACTAGGTCACGTGCACACTTATCAATCAGAATAGTGTTAATCAGTGAGCTACTCTAGCACGTGTTTGAAAGTTCTGTGCTCTATAACAAGGGAGATGATATATAATTGTCTGTTGCTGCACCAATCTGGACTGAGAATGGTGTCTGTTAAATTGTAAATGGGGAAACTAAGGGAGTTTGTAAATGGAATTGTTGGAAAACTGCGGGTAATTATTAGTACTTTCCTCATGTGGGTTGTGGTTGTAACGATGCCTATTACTGGGGCGGTAAAACCACTGCCATAATGGCAGGGAAAACACTGCCAAATTCCAGATATTTTAACTGGGGCTAGTCTAGTCCTGCCCGACAAACATTGTGGGCATGTGCCATGTGTCGATCTCTTTTACAACTTTCTAACCTCCTGTGGTCTAGATTACTGTAATAAAAGTGTATTACGTGCGTGTAATATGGGCACTTGTTCTTGCACTTTATTGCAACATTTCTAAATAATATTTCTGTATATGTAATATGAGTTGACAAAGTGGTCACAATGGCAATACTTACAGCTCCATGATAATAGGGAATAACAATACCACAGGCTCAAGTTCCATGCGCATGTGCACAATATAAATAATTCCCGCCAAAACTGAGACTCTAATACTGTGATGTCTTTGATCTTTAATTTCAGCTTTTAATCAAGAACACGTGCCCAAACATGGTAAACAACACCACACAACCACTGCACTCAGCTAGTCAAAGTTTCCCAATCATTTTATCATTAGATTTGATACGATATCAAAAGTGATGGCGAGCTTTTAAGTGGTTCTACTTCTAGTGCCGAAGAGACCAAGCTAATAATAGCCGCCACATCCCTCTGCCAAGTCCTGATAAGACATTAAGATGTTTTAACAGCGCCAATAAAAGCAAAGAACGATGGCTCTGTTTGCCCCGGCAGTATATTTCTCACTAACACGAGATTTACTGAACGTTTCTCATCCAGGTTCTCACTCCGCTGACAGCACCAGCTCCATCTGATGACAAGGTAGACTGATAAGGGGCTCGGCTGCAGTCCCAGTCGCTGGCTTTCGTGAGGTTTCACCGATGATCTGTGTGACTGTGAGGGTCGGACAGCCAATCAGGGACGTGAAGTGAGGACATTCGACCAATCAGGAGCTGTTATGGAAGTCACGTGATGGGCAGTGTATTGGGGTAATTTAGTACTGTTCACGTTCAGAGTACGTCTTGCAAGGGTGAAACATGCGACTGTAATGACTCTCTAAGATGCTGCCGTTGATAATATTGAATATGGTCCGAGCTCAGAGCTGCATCATTACTTAACGGCAGAGCAATATAGCATATTATATGCTGATGTGTGAACCGTATAAATTATAACGATCAGTATTCAGTACCTGCACGACATCGGACCACTCTCACCAATTTGATACATAAATGAGTTCAGACAATTATAATCATTTCTAAGAAGCCCCTCACCGGGCTATCGAACCAGCCATTTACCTTCTCTCAACAATAAATAACCGCTGTGTCCTGACAAAAGATTGCAGAGTTACTGGGATGATTAGGGTCATTGAAATCAGTAACAATAACAGTTGATTAGTCCAGAACACTCCAATTTTGATGTGATAGTGATTATATCTTCCCTCAGTGATTATATCTTCCCTCAGTTACTGAGCAGTAATAAGAAATAGGGTCCGCAGAGATTTCTAGACGGAGACCCATTATGCATTCACTTGTTGAAAAGAAGCCGAGAATGGAGTCATTGGCCATGATACATCGTTTAGAGTTAGAGTTAGAGTTATTAGTGGATAACACTCGTAATATACCGGCCTACATCAACATGACTAACTCAAATCTACTGTACAGGTACTGTGAATCTGCCGTTCGTTAAAATTTAATAATGAGTCTAAGTATAAGTCTTCTATTCGCTTTACTTGGCACGAAATTTTGGATCTAAATTTGTCATGTTGGACGCTGCCTAAAATTAAGAGTGTTCAGCTAGTGCACAGTGTGAACTGTGAACAATGTCATCTGTCAAATTCAATGTAAGTTTAATTTTATACGGCAAACAAGTACAAATACAATGCCAACCGGCTGTTAGCCGGTTAATAGCCCTCTTACCTGGGGACCTCAGGCTATTATTGATTATGTTCATAGAAAAAGAATAGAGATTCGGCGGAATGACAGGCTGAGCGCGGCCCAGTAACGACGGTCTTGTGTCTTGGAACAAATATTTTACGAGTATCTTAATTGTTGATTGACGGTGTCAACCCATCGAGAATGCTAGTTTGCGCGGCGCGTCGAAGCGGCCACGTCCTCCAACGAGTATCACTATCACCCGTTAACGGTTTAACAGCCTAACAAAATAAACCGTATTTAAATCCTTAGTCTTATCTTAGACTTAACAATAACCTTCTTGATACATGTTGCGTATCACAAACATTTACCTGGGGCTGGGGACCTCAAGCTATCTATATTGTATATCATGTTCATAAACATAGAGATTTGGCGGAATGACATGGGCTGAGCGCGGCCCAGTAACACAAACATCAAAGATATTATGTATTTTTCTTAATTGACGATGTCAACTCATCGAGATCAATGCTCTGCGAAACAAGAATGCTAGTTTGTGCGGCGCGTTGAAATGTCGGCAGCGCGCGCACTAACATTACTTGGGGACCTCAGGGTTCCAATTAGAATTAGACCTCTCCATGGAAACACAGTATTCCAGTATATTTATTTCTAGTTCCTGGCATCCAATAATTTAATTTCATTCCCCTTGATGGTTCCAATTAGAATTAGGCCTCTCCATGGAATCACAGTATTCCAGTATATTTATTTCTAGTTCCTGGCATCCAATAATTTAATTTCATTCCCCTTGATGGTTCCAATTAGAATTAGACCTCTCCATGGGAACACAGTATTCCAGTATATTTATTTCTAGTTCCTGGCATCCA